TTCAGCGTGATGGTTTGGGGAGCTGTTTGGGTTGGTGGGAGATCGAGCTTAGTGGAGTGCATTGGCAACATAAATTTTGCAAGACACGTTGAAATATTATAGGAAGGATTCTTGCCACTTTATTTCTCGGGTTTCATGGACAAGAACACAACGTTGTTCCAGGAAGATGGAGCACCGTGTCACACTGCTAGAAACACCCAAAAGTGGCAGGAAGAAAATGGTATCTAGAAGCTGCCCTGGCCGAGCCAATCTCCCGACATGAACCTCATCGAAAACCTCTGGGCCATACTCGACCGGCAAGTCAAGAAACAACCAAAAAAAAACAACTTTGAAGAGAAATCTACTCCAAGTTTTGAAGCAAGAGTGGGCAAAAATCCCACAATCTAAAATTGACGAGATGATTCTCAGGATACCCCAAAGGATTAACGAACTCCACAAAGTGAAAGGAAGATCTACTAGATATTGATTAAATTATAAATATATCAATTCATGTGAATATGACTGAAAAATTTCATTTTTTCTGAAAAGGTGGTGTCTATTTACTTGTGACCACGCTGTGTATATCATTTTCAAGAAAAGTATTCTATATGAATGTATGCTCATTTCATTACATGTTTCTTCAAGGCTGGAACACAACATGATTGAGTCTTCCACATGTGTAGTTTACACTATTCAGAATGATACCTTGTTGTATAGTAGCTGAAATATTGTAAATTAATGTATTTGAAATAGTGACTGCTCAATAACTTTGCTCCATTAATATTTCTGTATTTTGTAAACTACCTAATTTGTAAATATAATAATTGAAAGAATAAAGAAAATTAAATCTGAGATGGTTTGTTATTCAGGAAAATATTTCTTGCAGTGTAATAACAAACAATATTAATTTATTATGTCACTACATTTTAAAGAAAATACATGAAAGGAGTATTTAATTTTTTGAAAGGAAAGTCAGTTTTCACTTTGATTTAAAAATTAATACAAATTCTGAAGTGATCAGAAACTTGTTTAAAGTTGTGAATGTTAAAAAGTACTTAATATTTCAGAATTTTCTTGAATTTTTGGGAAATATTTCAGGCAGAAGCCATGAGAATAGTACGCTCTGTGAGTCGAGCGTTTGAAGCCTTCCATAAGCCCAGCTTAGCTCTTGCAACTTCAAGTGGGGAAAGCCAACAAGAGTTTCATGAGGATGCTAACAGAGGTGACTCATTACAGCCTCCAAATAAAAGTAAGACTTATATCCATTATTTTTACATTGCTTTCAGCATTGTGATATTAATATCAAAACAGTATCCAAATCAAGCTTTAATGATATCTCTGCCTGAGGTTAATCTACTTCACAGTATTCTTAATCTTATGATTTTACATTCCTTTCAGCATAGTGATAGTAATATCAAAACAGTATCCAATTCAAGCTTTCATGATATCTCTGCCTGAGGTTAATCTACTTCACAATATTCTTAATCTTATGATTTTACATTCCTTTCAGCATAGTGATATTAATATCAAAACAGTATCCAAATCAAGCTTTCATGATATCTCTGCCTGAGGTTAATCTACTTCACAATATTCTTAATCTTATGATTTTACATTCCTTTCAGCATAGTGATAGTAATATCAAAACAGTATCCAAATCAAGCTTTCATTATATCTCTGCCTGATGTTAATGTACCTCACAATATTCTTAATCTTATAATATAGTTTTAAGAACCATGGCTTGATTTTTACTTTCTGATTGGTTGGATATCAACCAATCACTCAATGACAAACCCATTCCCAGTTTGCCTCTGATGAAAAGGGTCCACATTTTGGAAGTGCTTGAGTTCTAGATTAGAGGGCTGTTTTTCTCACTAATTTACCTTTTGAACCTATGTGTTTTCCTAATATCATGAACCAGTCACACTGTAAACTATCGAAACATGACTCTACCCTGGTGCAGTTCATTTTCACATGAAAAAGGGGTGGCATTCTCATAACATTTGCTTCTTATATCCTTTTTCATCACCATATTAAAAAATTACTTCCAGCACTGTATATATATTTGATTATTTCATGGAAAATACTTTGAAATTTAAGGCCATAGTCATATAGCTCAGGTTCTTTTACCTTAATTAAAAGTCATCTGCTAACTTCTGGTATTTTAGGTTAGAGTTTAAATCATTTGGTAAGAGATTTTTATTCAGGAGCAAGATATTATGATCGTAATTAAGCTTACATGTATTTTATAGTCCAATTATCTGTAAATGAATGTGATGCCATTAAATTTGAAGGTCAAGTATGGCCAAGTGGTTAGTGTGCCAGACTTTGAATCTGCAGGTCTGTAGGTTGTACCCCATTACCACAAAAAAATTGAACTCCTCACTTTGTGGCTGTGAGTTTGTTATAAGTGCAATGGTCAATTCCCACTATTTGGTCAGACAAGAGTAGCCGAAGAGTTGGTAGTGGGTGCTGTTGTCTAGCTGTTATCTATCTAGTCTCTCATTTAAAAATTATGGATGGCTAGTGCAGATAACTCTTAACCCTTGAGTAGCTTTTAGAACTGGAAGGTAACCTATGTGCATCAGTTATGTTGATTAGTGTAATGTAAAGTAATTGATTAATTGAAATTAAAATAAATTGATTAATGTCATAAAAATGATCACCTAATCAAAATTGTTTCTCGATTTACTGTTTTTGAATATTCCAACTATTTAAGTCATTTAAATATTGCCATAATTTTTGATTAATTCAGAGTTGTTTAGATTAACTGACTAGCATTATGGCACTTGAAAATAATCAACTAATTAAAATTTGTGTTTTCATTTGTTAATATTTTTAATTATTCCAATTATCCAAGTCTCAAATGAGAATAATCAATTAATTGAATGTAATCGATTAATGAGCCGCATGATTAATTGATTAGCAAATTCTACTTATCACCTAGCTCTAGTAGCTTTGATTGTATGTCTGAAAAAACAAACAAAAAACGAAAGCCATTAAATTTGATTATTATGTTTTCATTTCACCCTAGGCATATACTAAAATTTATTGCTTGCCTGTATGTCTTTTACACCTGACATATCGTTGGAAACCCACTTCACATTTTAGCAATCATCTGCTCTCTACCAAGTATTTATTCATTGTATAATTGATTAGCCCAGAATTATATTTACGATATAATAGAAACAAAAAACTTATAAGTACAAATCATATTTCACTGCTTAGCACTAATCAAGAATTAAGTTGACAGTTGATGTTTGTAAATAAATCTTTTTTTTTTTTTGACTTTTTGCCAAAGATTTCAACACAGTTACAGATTTATAGATTCTTACTTTTAGGTTGGAGAAATGACAAATTTATGTAATAATTTTTTTTCTGTTTTCAACAGTTAGGCCATAACCTGCAGAAATATCTGTTATGACTGATTTAAAAAATCATACATTGAAGTAAAAAAACTAATAATTGTACAATTTCCTGTGAACATACATTTACTTTGAGATATATATATAAGCAGTTTTCTATTTTTGGAGGAAGCATGTAAAGTTTCTTTTCAGACTTGACAAATTTTGGCTAAATAGTTTAACATGCTCATTTTATTTTTTGACCACCTGGCTACAAATCTGATTCCACTTTTCTTTCATATTAATACTGATATAGTAAAATATTAAAGTGATTTTAATTGTTGTATTTGCTTATTAATCTAATGTAGTTATTGTTGAAAAACGATTTTTATAAAATTGAGTTTTAGTAACTGGTTTGTGAAAAAAAAGCTTATAAATCCTACTCTGTTGTTTTCAGTGATATAGCTACATTTTAGAATTTTGTATTTTTGTATTTATTTCTTAGGTTGTTTAATTGGAGTGAGTACCTCAGAACCTGGTAGGTTGAACAACCATGCTGGGGAACAATGTAAAAGTATCACTGCCCTTACACTTTGTAAACAACAACCCAGTTCTGCATTATCTACAAAAATAGCTCCTAATATTACGGACCTTCAGGTACTGCATCTAGAGTAGACCATAGTGTTTTAGATTTATTCTTCATGCATACAAACTGAAAATGTAAAGTTGAACATTGATGTGTCTTAATTACTTGATTGATGTCAAATTCAGAATTCCGTCACATCTATTTCCTTTAACATTTATTGTATATAATACTTTACATGTATTATGTCTCAAACTAAGGTCAAGGTCTCAAATTGGCTATGTCAGTTCCTCTTATATAAATATATTGAATAAATTTTCAAGGTTCCTGGCACTTCAACATACCGATGCTTCACTGTATGTCTGTTTTTCCAGCTAATGCGTTGATTTTATTTATATAGTTCGATATTTTGATTTTCTAGCAAAGTGTACTAACTTGCAATCATACTTTTAACCAGACACTATGAAAAATGTTTGTGCATATTTGTTACATTTATATATGTTTCACAGTAGGTCTGGATGTTCTGGTTTTACAAAGCTGAAGCAGTGTCCTAATATTTTGAGTAAGTAGGTTATATTCAAAGAAACAAAATGTTTGAAAATTTACTATGTATTTTTTTTCAAAGAGTTGGATAATGTTGTAGATTCTTGAGAAAACCTCTTCTTTGGAGCTGAATTCATTACTGACTTAATTTGTAGTTCATTAGATGGTCTTAATAGTTTTAGTAATAATATGTTTAGTTGAAAATATATTCTTTTAATGCTTCAAAAATATTTTATTTTAGGCAGAAGAAATGTCTCTTTCTCCTTTGAATGATAATGTAGGGACTGTGAGTAGCAGAATGTCAGTTAGTGTTTACCATGAAATGCAGCTACTTCAAGAGCAGTTAAAACAACAGTCTCAGCAGACGCAGGCTGCACTTTCTCAGGTTCACATGTTGAAAGATCAGCTAGCTGCTGAAAACTCGGCTAGATTGGAGGCTCAGGTGAGTGATTATATTTTCCATAGCATATTTATTGGATTGTTGATGACAAAATTGTCTCTTCTTGATTCTGGAGTTTATTAAACCTTTAAAAAATAATGACATAGATCATAAATTGAATTATGAAAAGTTGTCAAATATCAGTGGATTATCAAAGTTCTTAATATGGAAAGAAAGGCTTTAGTCCATGTAAATATTTAGTTGGTATTAATTCAAACTGAGAAACAAGATCAAATATTGTAGAGCTGTTATGAAACAAAACAAAACTTTGATTATAAGAATCATTATATATTAGGAATTTTTGAGGATAACATTCACAATTTTTTGGAAATATTGATAGTAATAACCACTACTTGTTAGGATGTTTGATGTAATAGTCCTAATTTTTTAGAATTTTGATTTGAAAAACGACTATTTATTTGGTTTTTGATGATAAGCATCACAATTTAGTGGAGAATTTGATTATAAGAATCATAGTTTGTTAGAGATGTTGACAATTACTATTTATTGGAGATTTTAATGATGATATTTCACCTTACATTCAGATCTTTAACTTAGAATTATTATTATTATGAGACTAGGGTGATTAAATAAAATATGCATATTAAAGACGTTTATGTATGATTTACTCCTGTCATGACCAGCTAACTATGGGAATCATTTCAACATATTATTTGAAGCTAATGTGCTTAAACAATGATTTATTTTATTGTATACCAAAGCTGCAGTTGAGTTAGTGTATATTTATAGTTTGTGCTTTAACTGAATATGCATTGGACTGACCTCATGTTGGAAAAATAATGTTGTCTGTAATTCCGAATGTACTATGTGTACCTTTACAAATTGTTGTAAGCTTTTAGTAAATATTACAAGTGTGTTGTACACAAAATATCAGATGGGCTAATAAAATATTTGTATTCAAGCAAGTTGGAATGCAAGGTGGTGTTTGTGTAAAGTGTAAAAATCCATTTTCTGTTGTAAAGATTGCAGATTATATTTACATAATCTCTAAAAACTCCTGAATGCATATCTGTTGTTTTATTGAGTATCCCTGTATATATTATATCAGGAATTTTCTCTACTCTAACATAGACTTTTGTGAAATCAGCAATATATGATAAAATGACATCACATTCATAATACTATGTTGAATGGTACTATGTACAAGATTGGGACACGTGCACTTTGTTCACACTCATGCTCATAGTTAATCCTATAATCCACTGTTGTTTTAAATATTGCTCATTTTAAAACTTGCATTTATAATATGTATGGGAGTTTATGTTTGGTATGTATATCTGTAGATACACACATTATTCCATATTTTGTCTTTCTGAAATAATGGTGATGGTTTGCATCTAAAATATTTAATAACCACATCATTGTAATTTTAATGTTAGGTCTCTGATAGGAGATCAATACCTATTATTTTTAACTTTACAGGAGATATGAACTGAAAATAGAACAAGAGAATTACAGTAACATTTAACCTTCTACAAAGTATTTTTTTTTGTAGAAATTTGTGATAAAAGTTTTTGTACCAAGTATGCAGTGTAAAAATATAATGACAATGATAATTATACCTCTGATAGACCATACTCATTTAGCAACACGCAACTTGGATGTGTGATTGTTACTTGTACCTTGAAGAATGTACTGATTGCTTTATTTTTAAATTTTGATGTTAAAATGGCTATATGCAAGCAGAGAAGGAAAAACAGAAATTTCATTTATTATCATTGTAACTGGAATTGTAAAATATGTTGTATTCTTACTTAAATATTGATAACACAGCAAGGGTATCCGATAGTGAATCGATGCAGTGTAACCATTAAATGTTTTTGTTGTATCACATTGCTTGCTCCTAATTAGACCATTGTATTAAAATTAACTACACTATTTACTGTGTTGTTTTTAGTTCTGATCTATCTAGGTAACTTGCTTTGACCAAAAGTTATTAATGTTATTAGTATGTTTTTTTCAGTCTATGGCATCAAAGTTTTCATTTTTAAGACTAAATTATATTTTAGTGATATAAGTAGAAACCATCTGATGCTAAACATGCTAACATTTTTAAATTCAAGGCTCCATCAGTGCAAAAGATTAATAGAAATACTCAGTATGTTTCTTTCTTTCCAGTCTCAGAACCATCAATTAATGGTACACAATAAGCAGCTTTTGGAGCACATTCAGAGTTTAGTACAACATATCAAAGTGCTGGAGAAGAAAGCTAACCAATGGGAAGCAGAAATCTCTCCTATGGTGGGTGGACTCGCTTCTCTTCAGGTGTGTATTTTCTGGCAATGATCAAACCTGGTTTCTCCTTTTAAAACCATTATTATAAATGCAACATTTTGATATGGTACACATAAAAAGCTATTCTCATTCAGTGCTACCCTATATATATATATGTAACATTTTTTTATGCATGCCACAAACCTTCTATCTCCTCTCCATTGGAATTGACTGATTCCAATGCATCTTTCATGCAAATTATCATGTGTCAAACCTTAACCAGTAAGAGTGCGACATACTCATGATGCATGTGACTCCTTCTATTCAAGTTTACCAAACTATCACTTCTTGTTTGGCAGTAATCCTGTTCAGACGTTTTTCTTTTGGTGTTCTTCACGTGAAATGTGATTTTAATAGTTTTATTTCTGAATTGGGACTTCATTATTAAATTTTTTTGTTACATTGAAGAAATCTTTTAATTAACTTATTTTCCCGTTTCTATTTTTTTTCACACTTCAATATTTTACATCAAACACTTACGTGTTTCTACAATTAATTCTGAGGTTCATGTTCCCATTTCGGGTGTTAAAGCTCTCGCACTGTTTTCACAGGCTGCAGGTGGAGGAGACCTGTCATTAGATTTCTCTGCTGTTATCCACTGGAAGATTGATCGTTATATGCATCATCCTTCTTTTCCTGAACTTGCCTTTCTAAACCTCCTGAACCTGTTTGGGCTGATGACGATTTGATAGCCTTTATACATCACTGGATTTTGCTGTGTTTTCCCTACCCCTCCTGCAGAATTAGCTAGGCCTAATATGGCATTTTTCAACATGATTTCTCAGTATGTTATGTTTTTTCTGTGATTCCTTATTACCTCCATGTTGGCTTGTTTATCGTCTTTGGCTCTTGCTTTACACAAATGTTTCACCATAGTTGGGATTTTCTTTGTCGCAACGCATCCTTGTTATGGGTATGTTTGCTGCCTCTTTCTTTTCAGAATTTCTGTATTTTTTTTCGACCATGTATATGAGACTCTGGAATCTCGTGTGTAATCTGTGCATCAAAACTTGACTCTTTCCTCTTTGGTTGCACGTTTGTTACAGTTGGAACCACAACATGCTCTTATTCACTACAGTTCCATGGGGTCTTCGAGTTTTATCAAAGGGACTTGTCCTATTATTTTTTCCCCACTTCCTTTTTCCATGGTACTCTTTTCTTCCCCATAACTTGGAATCCTACCACCATCCTGCATTTGTCCGAGGAGGTACACAATTTTTTGTCTCTACAGGCCGTTGCACCTGTTCATCATCTTTCTCCAGGCTTTTATTCCAGGATGTTTGTTGTCCTCATGCCAAACTGGAGACTGATGGCCTGTACTAGGTTTGCCCCACCTCATTTTAATTTTCAATCTGCCCTGTTTTACCTTGAAATCGTTTCTCACCCTTAGGTGGGCTTTTTATCCAGGTTTATTGATGACAAGAGGAATGTCACGAATGTTTATTTGCAAACCCTGATATTTTGTCACTTGCGACCCTCTCCTTGATTTATTCTCCACAGGGTGGTTTTTCTGTTTCACACACTGCCCTACGGACTTGCATTGGCCCTGTATGTTTTGTCGGGCATTCAGAGCATTCGTTCGTTACTTATATGCTTTCGGGTTGCTTTGGTCAACTGGCTACTGTTTGCTTGTTATCAACAGGAGTCCGGCTGTTACCCTTATCAGCTGCACCTGGAGGCAGCTATAATGGGCTGTTAATCAAGTTGGAGAAGTCCTTACTGCAACCTTTCCAATATCCTGTCCATTTAGGTGTTTTTTTTTCTAAACACATCTCAGTTGGGCTTGCCCTTCTTCTCTTTGACTTCATTTGGTGGGTTTTCAGTTCGATTACAGCTCGCGAATTTCTATCACTTTTGGGGATGTGATCTTTCACAGTATCCCTTATCCTCTTAGGTCAGGCTCATATGTGGTCTCTTTCATGGGCTTTTCATGACCAGTGGAATTTTGTAGGGACCCTTTATCAAGTTTTATTACTCTTCCTCCTACCCTTGTTGTCAATCAGCATTGATGGTTAGATTTGACTCACACATCAGTGGGTGTCCCACTTCCTCCTCCTCATCCGGTTTTTCACATTTCATGGATGCATTCCTTTAGGGATTGGGTACATGGATGGATCAACTGGAAATTTCTAGGTTTTTGGTCTGCAGCCGAAAAGTCTTATCCTATCAACATCCTGGAGCTTCTCGCTGTGGGTCATGTTTTGGTTAATTTGCTCCGTTTGATCAGAAGTTGTCTGCTACTGATACATTCCGATTTTTCTTCAGTGGTTGCTTATCTTAATCACCAGGGTGACACCTGTTCTCCATCGCTTTGTATTTGTACTTTGGATCTTCTTTTTGGGCCTACACGCTCTATATTCTTATCATTGCGTGTCATTTTACGTGTGCTTTTGTTCTTGTCATGGATTGGATTCCTATCCAGACAACATTTATCTGATGGAGTGGTTTTTTGATCCTTTTGTTTTCCAGCAGCTTTGACTTCAGTGGGGTACTCCTCACATTGAGGCTTTTGCTGTGTCCCTTCACCACAAATTGCCTTGGTTTTGGTCTCTGGTTCCTCGTCTTCTTGCTCTGGCTATTGATGTTTTCAGCCAGGATTGGACCTACACATTTGTCTATCCTCCCGTTCTTCTTCTTCTCTGGATGAATTCATTCATCCTTGACACTCTGTGTTCAGTCCTTCTGATAGCTCTTTCCTGGCTGTCTCAGCTGTGGTTTCTGTGGCTTCTCCAGCTCCAATTTCCTCCTCTGTCTCCATCTCTTCTTCACTACCTTCAGTCCCCGGTGTTTCATCCAGACCTTCCTGTCCTTCATCTTCATGCCTAATTTTCCTTTGGCCATAGGAGAGGTTATCTGGTTTCTCCTGATGCTTAGCCTCTTTTCTGGCTTGTTTCATTCACCATTCCAACATGGAAGTTTCTCAATGCAAATGGAATTTTTCCATCATTGGTTTTTGGGTTCAGGGTTTTCCCTGATCAGAGGTCTTCTCAGAGTTTTGAGAGGTCCTGTCCCACACCTTTTGTTTCCCGATCCCACAGGTGTTTACCTCTCCTATACTTTACCTGTGGATGTGTTCCTTCTGGATTTGTTGTCCACTGTGGCAGGCTGCCCTTCCGGATGGGGATATTAATATGGTCGTGCACTATCTCACTTTGCCTACATTTGAACCACTCTCCCAGTGCTCCTTGTTTCACCTTATGTTTTCCTTCCTTCTCCTATTTGCCTGTGGATGTCAGTGTTCTGTTTATTTGTCATTGATGTTTCACATACTCTTTATCCTTCAGCATATCTTCTTCTTTCTCTAGATCGTTTTTCGTTCCTAACACTTTTATGGCTCTTGAGGAAACTCCTCTGTTTAGCCACTTTCCCTTCCTTCCATTTCACGTCTTTATTCTTGTCCTGATCCAGATAAATTTCTATGTCCTGTACGTGATTTTCTCTGTTATATTGCCTGCATGGCTTCCTTCTGTGGTGTTCATTCCTGCCTCTTTCTTCCTTGAAGACATCCTCTGTTTGTGTTCTTTCTCCTTCTTCCTTTTCCAGTTGGGTTTGGCTCTTCGCTTGATTGGCTTCTTCCTCTTTATTGTCTTCTTCCAGCATTTTGTCTGAGTGTCTTCTCACCCAATTTAACACCCTAACTTTTCATTGGCATTTCATCTTTTTTGTCCTTTGGAGGTACTTCTTCAATCAGGCATGTGGACTACCCATGATTCGTTCACTATTTGTATCGGATCATGGTTTTCTGTCTCTTTGGGTTATTGTCTTCCATTTTTAGCCATTGTAAAATATCAAAATTCAGTGAGTCTTTGACTGGGTAAGTTATTTTTTTTCTTATATTTCCTTTTCAGGGGCTCTTTTTCTCTTTATTAATGTTCATTGTTTGGATCCAACTCTGTAACGAGTGGTGCCTGGCCAGGTATTCTTTAACTATTCAAATCCCCACTGTCAATCCATGTTGCCTTGCATATTATAATTCTATGGTCACACGACGCACACTGCAGAGATGGGTCCCATGTTCCACAAGATCTCATGTAAGTTTATCCTCACAATAGATTTGCTTCATAAATCTGCCCATCCGGGACTGTACCCATTCATGGACATTATTAGGTAAAGCAGATTGGGATAGCTGTCCATCTCTGTTATGCCTTGTATTGAATAATTTGGTATGAGTTGCTTTTAAAAATAGGGTTTCGTGATCTCCCATTGCACCGTCTCAGGTGTTGTCGTTCCTCTGGACTCTCCACCATGTTTTACCCCCTTTTCTTCTAGTGGAATTTGAGAGTCCTTACCACTTTCCAGTTCCAAGCTGCAGGGGTGGTGGACTGTGGAGGTATCCTCCTGAATGGGTTAATGAAATACAAACAAAAAAACAGAAATGATTATAAAACCATTCAGATGAGAGTAGGGCAGTGGTGTTCTGCTGGTGTAAATGATGTGATATCCTCCAATATGAAACATAAAAACAAATGGGAGTGAGATGTCAAAATTGCAATTCACCCCTTTGATTGGGATCCCTCATCCTACCTTCACGTGGATGTCGGTTCCCAGTTGCTGGGTTTTGGATTTAGAGTAGAACCAATCAACATAAGTCCTCACACATGTATTACAGATGTCTATATTTCTCCCTCATTTATAGTCCATCAGTGTTGTGGGTCACGGTGGAGGTAATTGCAGATTGTTATGGCTCTTTCCCTTCCACTATCCCTCAATATTTCTTATTCCGAGGATGTTAATCGGCTTGGGGTGGTTCCGGTCAATTTCACTTTTGAGGAAGATGGTTTATATTATGTAGACATATTTTTGATACCGGATGTTTGGTTCCCAGATCAATCTATTAATTTATCATATTCACATGTGCCTCATTCATGAGTCAGGGGGTACTAGATTCCCTCCAGTCTCATAAACTTGAGGTGAAGACAGTATGATAGTTTTTCCTATCCCTGCCAGATGACTGGGTTTTGGATTGTAGTTGACTTGTCACCGGTATGATCGTTTTTCCTACTCTCACATGGATATCAGTTCCTGGTTGCCTGGGTTTTGAATTGTAGTCAATTTTCCGGTGGTATAATCCTTTTTCCTACCCCCACATGGATGTCGGTACCCAGCGGCTGGGTTTTGGATTGTAGTTGACTTATCGACAGTATGATCCTCATCCTACCCCTGCATGGATGTCAATTCCCAGTGCCATTGATTTTGGAAGTATTTGACTTGCCGTGTATGGTCTAGCCCCTCTACACCTAGGGGCACATCCTTTTCATTTTACCCACTTTTATAAGTTTCTGGGATTGAGTTTGATAAATATTGCATGGTTCGGATCGCTTTCTGGCCATATTTTTCTCCCAATTGGATGTATACTCTTCTGTTTTACACCCATATATTCAACATCTTTCTATGATGGTTGAAGAGTATACCTGGTTCAGAGTGGTGCGATTCCCCCACATCAGATTTTAGAATCTGACTGTCTCATCTCAGGGAGTGTCCCTTGGATGCTTTCAAAGGATGTTTTTTTTTTCCCTCACACCAGTCCCTCCTCCTATTCAATGTGTGATTCCAGCTATTTACGTGAGTGAATCTAATGTACTGTATCAGAAGTTATAATTTTCCTACACTGAAAATGTATTTCTGATAGGTACTTACCTCTCCTCACACTTTCCACCCTTCCTCTCCACTGAAAACCGATGCTTCCATTATCTGACAAAACTGAAAAGGATAATTTGGTAGAATTGAATAGAGGGAGTCACATGCATCATGAGAGTATGTGCACTCTTATTGGTGGAGGGTTGACACATGATGATTTGCACGAGAGACGCATTGGAATCAGTCAATTACAATGTAGGGGAGATAAGCTTGTGGCATACGTAAACATTTCTTTTTGCATATAGAGGGTAGCACTGAATGAGAATAGCTTTTTATGTGAGAGACGGTAAGTATCTATTGGAAATACATTTACAGTGTAGGAAAATTAGAACTTCAGTTTTGCAAAAGTGAAAACTAGCTTACTCAAAACATGAAATTGTGACAAATGTAATATGCTCAGCAAAAGTTATGTTAAGTGTGTGGCCTTTTAAATGATCAGAGTTGCATTAATGCAGAGAGTGAAAAAATTTGACAATTGTAAAGTATTCCATAAATGAGTACAGTTGAGGGTCTATTTTGACAGGGAATAATTCTTTTGTGAAATAAATCATGTATTCGCAGGATTTGTTTTTGTCATTTATGACCATATATAAAAATTGTCTATATTAAAAATAAACATTTCTTAAAATGCTTTTTTATTTCTATCTTAACCATATAATAAACCCTGAATTATAAGCTACCAATTTAAATTTTGTATTACCTCTTTTAATTAGCTTACTGAAAACAGCCCTTGTTCAAGGTTCAGTACTGGTGGAAATGGTTCGTTGAAAGCCATACAGTCTTCATCAGCATCAGCCAGTCCTTCTCCACAACAACAGCCTATTAGAAGCAGTAGCTCAACAGCTTTTGTATCCTCAGAGAGTCCCAAAACACACAGCTGGTCTGAAGATAAATTTTCTACCTTTCTCACTAGTATGTCTCAACCTAATAGCCCATCCCGTGTTAGCTTTACTTCTTCATACAGTGACCCACCTCTTTCTTCTCTGTCCACACTTCCTGTTGTAGCATCATCTGATTCTAGTAAGATAACTGTCATGGCTAATAGTGCTAACGTTGCATCCAATTTGTCCCCAACTACAACTGTTTTACCGACTTTAACCCTAGATTTACCTGATACAAATAAAAATTGTAAATCCTCATCTGATATTTCTACTGGAAGTCACCAGAGGGACCATTTAGGTCAGTTGTCAGACTTTTCCATATGGAATTTTTTACCTAAAACTCACCCAGGTCTTTCTTCAACAACTGAAAGTTATGGAAACCAGTGCAGCTTCTCTAATACTTCAGATACTTTTTTAACCCAAGTTACTGATGATATTTTAAAGCTAGATCTTCGTGACCCACAGCAAATTTTATCAGAGACAGAAAATATTAGGAGTAGTACAAGTTGCATAAAGTCTTCTCAGGGTATACTTACAAAAGCTGACAGAAAATATTGGATGTAATGCAAGTTTTGTAAGGTCTTCTCAGGTGCCTCAAAAAAAAAAGTGACAGAAAGTAATGGGAGCAATACGTATTGCATAAAGTCTTCTCAGGTGCCTTACAAAAGCTGACAGCAAATATAGAAAGCAATGTGAGGTGCCTCACAAAGGATGAAAAAAAATTGGAAGTAGTGCAAGTCTTGTAAGTTCTTCTCAGGGTACTCATGAAAACTGATAGTGAATATTGAAAGTAAAAAAAGTCCCATTAGGTTTTTATGTGCTTTTAAAAAAGTGACAGAAAATATTTGGAGTAATGCAAGTTTTGTAAAGTCATCTCAGCTGCATCACAAAAGCTCTCAGAAAATACTGGATATAATAAATGTGCAAATTCTATACAGGTGCTTCATAAAAATTGAAAATAATATTGGAAGAAATGCAAATCCTGTAAGATATTTTTAGGTGCCTCACAAAAGCTGATAGTAAATAATGAAGTGATGCAAGCACCACATGGTCTTCTCAGGGTACTGAAAAAAGGTACAGAAAATACTAGAAATAATGTGAGTGCTGTAAAGTCTTCTCAGGTGCCTTATAAAAACTGCTTTTTTGTGTGCTGTTGGTAGTTATTAAAATGTATTATTACTTCTTATGTTGATGATTAGACATATGATCGTGTTTTACATTCTGTGTAAGTCTCAGAATTGTGTAAATGGCATAGAAGTGCTAGTTTTATCTTTGTTTAATTCAGAAAGGGTAGGCCAGAAGTAATAGTATTTTCCAGGAGCTGGTACTTTATGTGATGTTATTGTATGAATTATGTTTTGCATTTATCAAAAAAATGCATAAATATGATTTACCAGAAGTTACAGAAGTGTCTGGAGAACTTTTTGTTTTGTTCTTTTTTTACTAAAAAAAGTATAGCCATCAGAAAATACGTGCAAAATATTGCAGACCTTAATGCAATCTTATCTTTTCCAGATTAAGAAAGAAAAAATAGTTTTGTTTTTGTCTCCATATTTTTTCCTTAAAAAAAGCATTTTCTTAGCAGTAACCTAGATTTTACATAAAAGCAGAATTTTTGTAATTTAATATGAGAGATTGAAGTTTACTAACTTCCCCATCCGGTGTAAAGTTACTAAAGGTGTACCAATATGACTATTCAGTAATTGTCCGATATGCTGATATTTTAATGTTATAGGAGTGATTACAGATTTTGTTACTGATATTTGACACATGTGGCTTACAATAGTTAGTATTAGGTACAATCAAGCACATATACACATGTTTCACTATGCAAGTTTAATATTTAAAACCTACAACAGGTAAATTGTATTTAATAGACAGTAACACCTCAGCTTTCTCAGCACATGGTCATCATAAATATTAACAGCTCCAGAGAAGAGTCTCGCTGAATGGACACTTGTAGGTGATGTACTAAGGTATGTCTATATGTATATATAGCTATCTTAGTTAAGATAGGATATTGTAGCTTGTTACTGTCCCACCAGGTATAGGGATTATCCTCTTGATATTTAATTAAGGGTTCCCACAAGTAGTTGTTTACCATGCATTCCTTTCCTTTCCCAGTATCTGTGGATTCTCTTGGGTCTTCTAAAATTTCGGCCAAGCATTCCCATACTTTGCTAGTAGATTTAGATCCATTATTGAGTAGTTGTTTCTTTTTAGCGGCTTAACATCACTGTCCTCTGTAGATTCTGCACACATCTCTATCAGAAGTCTTTTAGTCATTCAGAAAAAAAAAACTTGTTCTTTGGATCCAATGCTGTGGCATCAACTAATTCCTCTCATTCTTCAAGTTCACTAAGTCTTCGTTTCAGTGCACTTAACATCTCTGACTTTGTATGGATTCCTGAGTCATCATCAGGTTTATTCAGTGTCTAGAGCTCTCAACAAAGGTATTGGTATTAGTACAGATGCTACTGCTGTATCAGTAGATGTCATTTTTGATATTTCCTCTACAGGTTTCAGTACTGCAATTATTTTTCTGGTCAGCTCAAGTTGATGAGAAGTTAACATACTGATGGCATCATATTCAGTTGCATATGCAACCAGTGCCATTTTTTGCCTGTAAACTGATTGCAACATGTAAAGGGTTGAGTTCCACCATGTTGGTTCATCCTGTACCAACATGTGTTTTTCCATGCTTAACTTCTTTTATTTCATTCAGTCAATGATAGGCTAAAGTAAAGTGTCCAACAAGTCTGCGAGATACAGCCAAGACATCAGTCACTGATCGCTGTGAGAATACTCCTTCGTGCATGAAACCAGCTGGAAGTGTATGTACAAAGCATCTCAAGCTGGGCAGATGCACATCTCATGTGGCTTTCATCATATTACTTACATTGTCATGCAATATTAAATGAATTCTCTCCTTGCTAGTGGCCCAATTCTGTAACATATTCTTCAGTTTTTCACACAAGTATTCACCAGTATGAGACTCTTCACATTTATGTGCATGCAACACAGCTAATATTCTATTAAAATCTTTGGTAATCCAGTGGGCTGTTAAACTAATCCAAGATTCATGAGCTATGTTGTAGCTCCAAATATCTGTAGTAAGACTCAAGTATGGTACATAACAGTTTACTGTCAATATTTGTTTTAATATTTGGTACAAAATTTTCAGAAAAATACTTAAGACTTGATATAACATACCTAGGCTCAAGGATTTTAATGAGATGATTAAATCTAGTGCCATTTCCATCTGAAAAGATCTGGTAATCAGTAGCAATCATTTAGCTTACTAACTGGTGAATATGCAGTGCATGAGGATCATTGATATTCCATACTTTAACTTTAGCCACTGTTTTCATCGTAGAAAGCTGTCAAAAACCTGCAGTTCTTTCTGTTTCTTCTTTCATTTCAGTTCTCTTCTTCTTTTTTTTCTTCTTCTTTGTAATCACTATAATCCACAGGGTGTTTTTTTTTTAATATGATCAATAATGTTGGTAGTATTAAAACTTTTAACAGAACTCCCACCACAAGATATGTAATCTTTACAAACACTAAACTTATCACTGTCTTCACAAACAGTAAATTAATCTTATAACTGCTTTTACTTGTGGCATTTTTATAAAACAAAAGAACAAAATGGTGATGCCACACAAAGGTAAGTATGCATGCACATATGAGTATGGTGCATAGTTTATTGATAAGCCAGTATCTATGCAGATATGGATATTAATATTGGTACACCTTTAAAAGTTATACATGGCTATGGTTATTTCCAACATTTAATGCTGTAGAAATGGTATGCATGTATATATCTTTTTATTCAAAAAGTAACCTTGCATCTTTCTACTTCGAACATAACCAAAGTAATTGATACAACTTCACTGTATGAATTTAAAAAATGTGTAAAGTTTAAATGGCAACACCACCTTTTGACAGTGGTTGACATTTTGATGTCTTTCAAGTTTTTAATAGTTATTTTTAATGGTTTTTTTTTAATTATCTTATTATTTTTAAAGTTTCATATTTACAATGTAATCAGGCTACATTTATTCAAATCATGAAGCAAAAAATCAGAACTGATATATCATTTGTAATAGATGGGTACAAGAATAACTTTCCATATTATACTTTGGATTTGTTTTTACAACCACATATGGGGAGTATTACTTCTTATTTCCCATAAAATGTGATATTAAAGCCTTACATTCTTGTTTTAAGCTACCAGTGAGTTAAGAAGTCATCAGAGGTTATTGTATTTCAGTTATTATTTTGAAGTAAATGATGGAAAGGATGTAGCTGACTTGTGACGTGTTAAATTTTGTATTTTTAGCAGTTTATTTCTTGTGATGTGTTTCTTCCTGTTAATGCCTCCCAGTGGCACAGCAGTATGTCTGTGGACTTACAGTGCTAGAAACTGGGTTTCAATACCCGTGGTGGGCA